TTAGTGGAATAAAGTAACCACTAAATGCCACCACTATAAATATCATTGCTATGTTGGTCAAAAATGCTTTGGATTAAAACAAAAGAATCTTAACCTAGTCTTAGAAAGTATTTGCATTTACCTGATAAAAGAAGGTCAGTCATAAATAAATTTACAAAGAATGCTAATCTGAGTCCTCGATGAAAGCTCATTAAAATAAAAACCAAAGACTATTATCTCATTTTACAAATAAACACAATCTGAAAAATATGCCCTTTTAAAGAAAGAGTTTATGGATACCACATATATTTTGTGGTAGCCTTTTTCTCTTATTATGTACATAATATCTTAGGGATTATAATGCATTGATTTATTTATGAACATCTAGGCAGGGTAGAGAGGAAAGAAGGTAAGAGAAGAAGAAAAAAGGAGAAAAAAAAAAGGAACAATTATCACTACCTTGCACAGTTTTAATCAGATCATCTTTTAAAGGTTTGAAATTATATGCTATCCAAGCAATAGCCTCATGAGAACATTTTCATTATAGTTATCTGTGAAGTAAATAACCTGAAATGTTCATAGTTGCACTGTAATGACTCAAAACAAGGATTCTCAACTTGTGCTGTTCAGTATTAAATTTAAAACACACAAACAAGCAAAAAATTATGACAACTTAAAAAAGCAGATATGCTCAATGGTTGTTAAAGGTCCAAGGTGACATCTTGTCTTCATTATCTGACTAAGACCAGAGTAAGACCAAACATAATTACTAACAACATCCTTGTGGCCATTAAGAATGTTTCCCCAATTTAGGAATCAATCCATAAGGTACTTCCAAAACATAAAAGAGAAAAGAAATACTATTAGCATGGTTTAAGATGAAGACTTCAGACCTCTCTGGATTTTGTTGGACATTTTTGATGAAGATATCTATGAGATTTAGGGATTAATATTTATGTTATGGATGCTTCAGTGGAGCATTCCTAGTAGTGTAAACATTCTTTAAAATTAAGGCACACATAGATGCTGTTCTCTGATTGTCTCCCACAAAAGAGCAATCTTAGGAAAGGGACTCGAGGAACATTTCGCAGAGGTATATCTTTTTCAGTCTACTGGTTTTCTACAGATGGCTAAAGCAGGGTAGGGAACATGCTGTCATATTTCATAACACACATGTACTGTAACTCGAGGCAACAGATGGACAATCGCTTGTTTAAACTACAAATGTGAAGTACTAAGGTAGTATAGCAATATTTCTAGAAATGTATATGGAAAAAAAGCCTTTATAAGCCAAGAGGACTGGCGAGAGGCTGTGAGGTTACACCAGTGTTTCCCTGATCTCCCTACCAGCTGCCAGCATTTCCCTAACACCCTTCAGAACTTGATAACAGAGGGATTAGAGGGCCACAGACACAGATTTGACAAGAGAAGCCCAAACCATATCAAATAGAAATAACACTGTTATCCCTGGCTGGTTCACATTAACAGGATTTTTACTAATGAGGAAAACTGTTGGAAAGTTGTGTTTTCTGAGTCCTTGCTATGTTCTATAAAACCCTCTACGACAGCCCTATGGTAGAAGTGCTCTTTCTTCCTTTGGACCAAGATAAAAATATTTGTTTAAATATAGTTAGAGTTCTATATACTTTAAGCATCTCTGAAGGCTCTTTCATAGTGAGAACATAGTTACAAGTGTTGATAACTCCACTGCATTAATCAGCATATCCACAATACAGTAATTTTGATCAGGGAAGTTGCTCCAACAGAAACAATTTGTGAATGAGAAGAAGAAAAAAAAAAAAAACCCCACATCTTTGAGCTGCAGAGATTTCCAGCATCTCAAAGCCTTGTTGCCTTATGCTGGAACAATGACTTATTTTTACATTTTAAAGGCAATTTTGTTTGCACATGGGACTTCCACATTGAGTCAGCAGGAGCTGGGAATTTAGGCAATGAAGAAATCTGGTTTTGAAAGGATCTGCACAGTCCATGACAAGAGTGGGTTTTTTTTGTTTTTTTTTTTCCCCATCTCCCATGTCTCTCATGTTACACAGAATTACCAAATATTTGTGTTCTTGACAATTTTTTAAAACCAGTATATTTTTTACCAGCTTTCTCTTATGGACTCCATAATTTTTTTCTATTATTTTGAATTGAAATGTCAACAATTAAGACAATATATCAAAAGACAATAGAACTGTCATCATTAAGGTAATATTATCTTTAAATCTCTGTGATAGGCATCATTTCATGTAACTAAAACAGTAAGGAGTGATTTGGCATTGTTTAAACCAAAAGATTAATAGGAAAGATAAGAAAGCAATATAAATCATATATTTAAGAAATCCTGGAATAAATATTGTAGGATCCTTTCCTTATTATACCTTGTGAAGAAAAAAGAAATCTAAATCTAAATATTTCTGCTTAAGTATGTGTGCACATTCATTATTATATAAAAGTATAATAAGTCTATATTAAAAAAGATTTACTTTTTAAAAATCTTTGGTAAAGATACTCTGAGGTTACGTGATAAAAAAACGCACTATAAAGATTGTAAGCAAGCAGTATCCTGGCACAGCCACAGTGATGGGTCTGTGACAGTTATTTTCTTATAACTTTTTTTTTCTTTGTTACTTGTAAACATTCAGTTACATAAGGACTTCAATGTAACAAACAAGTAGAATGTTATTGCAATTCATAGTATAAATATTTCATAAATTCTTCCTTTTTTTGGCAAAATGTATAATAATATGACTGCTATTCAAGAGATAAAATTCATTTCTTAATAAACTGGGCTCTTTGCGTTGGGCCTAAAGACAGTTTTACCCAAGCATATCATAGAAAACAAAGTTACTGAAGCAATTCAAACAGATTATATTATCACCCGATTGTCTAACAGTCAGTGCTCTTTGAGGTCAGCAGCACATTCTGGGCTTTCATTTGGAAGACAGAAATTCAGAGATTCAATCACTATTGTCTCCATGCTACTCAAAGTGAATCCCATTGTAGTTCACATCATGATAAGTTTAAGATCAAAGATAAGAGCAATAAGGTAAGGAGAGGGCAATGGTCAAAAACAACTTTAAAAAGCTACAATGTTGGAGGTTCTAAAACAAAACTGTTCGGTGACCAAAGCAAATGAGCCACAAATCATCTTAGATGAGCTACAGACAGTAACCACACTCTTTAAGAATTCCTTATTGCAGGGGGGTGAGGGGGACACATTTTTATGGTTGTTCTTACTAAAGTAAAATATATTTAATTGGAATTCCTGAGGCATGGGTTGTGATTTAAAACATGCAGAAATATGTGTGTGTGTGTTTTTCATTTCTGTTCTACGTGTTAAAAAAAAATCAGACTGAAAAATTGGCTCTATCACTTTAAAATCATGAAAAATCTATTTGTGGAATCAGGAAAGGATACACAGGGGAATGTAACTATATTTGGTATATTTGATTTCTTAAACTGGGTGTTACATATACAGGGACTCATTATATTATTATTTATACTTTTGTGTATATTTAAAATACTTCATAATTTAAAAGTATATACTTGTGGAAGATTTGAAGAAAGGTTTAAGAAATCTCAATCCAAAATACGTAATCAGTTTAAAAGACAGCAACTTGCCATTATTAAGATCGGTGTCTCCATAAATGAAACAAGTTAGAACCTAATGAAGTATGGTTCCACAGTCGGCAAGCAAGCATTTCCCTGCCTGGCAGAGTTTGAATAACGATTCCAGGAAGAGGCTGCATATTTTTAGCTCAGAAAGGCAACTATGTTTTTCGGTGATTGTCTCTGAAAGTGTGGTGAAATGTCACATCATTGATATGAAAATATCTCCTATGATGTGTAATTTCAGTTGCAGAAGGATTAAAAGAATAATGAAACTGTGGTTTCACTCTTCAAGTGTTCCTGTTTTTTTATTTTTTTATTTATTTTATTTTTTTTTTAAAGCAAACTAGACAAAACTACACAATTTTATTTTGTGTGCCCTGATTAGCAAAAAGAGCAGGGGAGGGAAGGGGAATTACAGCTATTTAAAGCTATCTTTCATTAAAGAAAAAAAAAATCAATTTTGATAGTCATGTTTGAATATTAGAAAAAAAATCAAAATTTCTGATATGAGAAGTAGGACAGTACAGAAAATAGTATATTCTAGAGACAAAAACGGTTGTCTATAAAGTGTCTAAGCAGCATGAAAAAGGAGAATCTTCAGATGATATTGTGGGATAATAGTCGGCTTTCCAAACTTAACCCTAAATGTGGTTTTTACCCCCAGCACATTCCACATGTAATTTCTTTAGAAAAACATTGAAGTTTGGATCTCTTTCACTAATACCTGTTTTCAAAGGAGCCCTGACAACTGGTAGCTATAATTGTTACAAATTTGGGCTTGTTTTAACTTATCTAATTTACAACTTAAATTCTTTATACCCTAACGTGTAAGTTGTGCATTTCCCTCCTCCCCTGCCAAGGGACATGACCCGTTTAGAGTAACAGAAAGATGTGCTTTTTGATACACAAAGAGAACAACTATCCTTTATGATCAGAGGCAATGTGGACATGATAGCATGGAGAGACTTCAAGCCTAAAGCACCTGTGAGTGGGCAGACTCACCCAGGAAAATCTGTGTGACAGCAAATACCACACTAAAAAAAGCTATTCAACCAGAAGAAAAGTGAGACAAACAGAGGGATTAAAGAGTACAGGAATGCGGAAGTGAATGGGATAGAGCATAATCCCTGCAAAAATGTGGAAGTCCTTGGGAACAAAAGCCCATCAAGGTCCTACATAACTAAATGTGAAATGTGTAGTTGGTAAGAAATTTTTAAAAAAATCATAAAATCTATGTGTTTCTACAGAAAGTTTCCTACTACATGAAGAACAGAAACCATCCTATAGCTTGAATGCCTTTCTCCTATTTTCCTATTGCTTTTCTTAGTATTCTTCTTATTATTTCTTTCAGTGTTTCATTCTTCTCAGTACCACCAACTAACCAGCTGAACAGGACACTGAACTTAAAGGTCGGTGCTAGCCTTGGCGGTCAACACTCTGATGCGGGCAGAGTTGCAGGTCTTGCAGAGGATGTGTCCATCCAAAGGGTAGCAGCCTTGGTTATCTCCTTCAGACAGGAGACCACCGCAATCCTAGGGAAATAAATACAGATTGAATGATGCATGTGAACATGAAAACGACATGTGTGAAGATCAGTTCTTTAGCTTTTCATTCAAGGACTCTTTTCTTTCCACTTCACATACCACCAGGCCCATCCAATCTATCCCCAGTGTATACCACATATGTCTTAAATAAAATTTAAGAAATATATATAAATAGCTGTCCTAAGGTCAGTTATAGGAAATAACAGGTTCAGGAAGAAAAGGGTCCAAACTTATGGGATCTCAAATGCTAGCTTTGTTCCCTAACCTAAATGACAATAGCAAGAACAGGAGAAAATAAAACAGATCCCTAACCACTTATTCATCGTTTCCCTTTATCATCAGTGAGGGATAAGGAAATGTTTTAAAATAATTTTCTGAACGTGCTGTCCTTTGGAGACCTGGATTCTAGGGGAAAGCTTTGTTCCTCTTTGCGTATAAATGACTACATGTCCCTTGGGCAGGAAGCCTTCCTTGTCACTTCCAGCCTGGATCACAACTGCTATGTATATATATTTCCATGGCAGTCACCTGACCTGTGTTGTGAAGTGCTCAGTCAGTGACTAACTTAATGAGTCTTCATGACTTTGAACATGAAATTCCAAACCCTCTTAAAGGAATAAATCCTTTTCCTCCCCCAATGCGGGACAATGGTGTGTCTGCTTCACAGGAATATCAGAGCCCAAGTGAAAAATCCAGGATATTAACAAAACAGCAATAACTTTTCCTACCCACTTAGCACTTTGTGATTGACAGTGTCCTTGAATATGCAATTTTGCATTTTATTCACACAGCCATGTTTGGGAAAGGTAAGAATGAGTCTTTAGGTGTGGAAATAGAGAATGAGAGAGGTAAAGTGACTTATCCAACATCACTAGCATTAAGATCTAAAACCCAAGTCCTTTGAAGATACGCATTTCTCAGATTGAATAATTGCCATGTTTATGAAAACCTGGCTCTAGTGGGCCTTTCAATGCCTGTCTTACAAGATTTGAGGGTGCAGACCACAGACCTCACACCGGTAGCAGTGAACATGGAAATCACGATCCAGAGCCACAATTCGGATAGTCTCCTCCTGGCCAGGGGCTGGCATGATAGGCTCCTTGCACACAGAACATCGGGGGGCAAATTTCCTGAAAACAAAGAGATAATCTCAGGATTATATCTGGTTAGGTACTGAGCATAGACAATGACAAAGAGGTAAAACACAAAGATTAAAATAAAAGAATAAGGGAGAGAGATCAACCAATGGACTTGTGTGCATGATTATAAGCCTAATCAGTTGTCACAGACAAGAGGGGGTTAATGGCATGCGTGGGAATGAGGGGGGAAGAATGAGAACAAATAAAAATAAATAAATTTAAAATAAAAGAATAAAAGATATAAATTGAGAGGACATCTGATCTACCATTCTGTGACTTTAGGCAAGTCATTTTCCTTCTCTGGGTCTGCTTCCTCAACTCTAAAATAAAGGATTTAGATTCACTGACTGTTAAGGTCGTTATAGATCATAAATTATGATATTGAGTGATGTGGGGGAGTGAAAGTGAGAATTGCTTTTGCATGAGAGCACCTGGGAGCTACTACTGGTCATGTGGTATGTGGTGGGAATTCACCTGTGAACAGATTCCAAAAACACACCCTAAGCTTAGGGATGATCACCTGAGGGGAAAACATAAGTCCTGAAGGTCCCTACCTGTCTCTGCTATTTGCTTGCATGTGTTCTCCAGACCTGAATGAACTGTTTGGAGCTTTGAACTTTGCCTCCTTCCCAGTTATCAGAGCTCCTTTCTTTGAAATGTGTCTTGAATCCTAATTAAACTTTAAATAACTATTTTTCAAAATAGCAGAGATTAGTGAGTTTAAATATCTTTTATACCAAACTATGGCCAAGTCTTCATTTCTTACATTTGGCTTATGTTAAACTTTTGTTTGAAAAAAAAGAAAATTATTGAGAGGAATCAGTCCTCTATTCTTAGCATCTAGGTTGGTCTGAGATGGTAATCTTCAGATGTCCAGTGATCTGCACAATGAAACAATTTCTTTTCAAAGTCACTTAGATAGTCAACTAGAAGTTATGATGTATGGCCAGGCATTGATGCACAATGACCTATTGTGGGTCCAGGTATTAATGCAGAACGAAAAGTTCAAAAGTTTAAGTTTCTAGAATCAGTTAAAAAAGAATAGAATTGCCCTAGCTAGTTTGGCCCAGTGAATAGAGCTTCAGCCTGTGGATAGAAAGGCCCTGGGTTTGATTCCCATCAAGGGCACATCTTGGGTTTCTGGCTTTGTCTCCAGTGTGTGTGTGTGTGTGTGTGTGTGTGTGTGTGTGTGTGTGTGTGCGCGCGCGCGCGCGCCGGGGTGGGAGTAAGGATGTGGGGGGAGGGGTCATGCAGAAGATGGGTGGTCAGTAATTCTCTCTTATCATTGAAGTTTCTATCTCTCTCCCTCTTCCTTTCTCTCTGAAATCAATAAAATTAAATAAAAAACAAGAAAGTTAAATATTTGTTGTTTTTTTTCTATAAAGGATTTTAGCACTTCTGAAGGGTAATTGTACATGAACACAGATGAACTTACACCTACATACACATATACATACCATTTTTAGGTGGGGAATTTTATATTTATTTTTTAAAATATATTTTATTGATTTTTTTTGCCCCCCCCCTCCCTCTCAAACATACCCTCCCTCCCCAGAGTTTTATGTCCATTAGTTGTACTTATATGCATGTATACAAGTCCTTTGATTGATCTACTATCTCCCCCAGATCTTCCTCCCCTCCCCACTGTAATTTGACAGTCTGCCTGTTGCTTTACTGTCTCTATATCTGTCTCTTGGTTCATCAGTTTATAATGTTCTTTATCATCCACAAATGAGTGAGGTCATGTGGTGTTTCTCTTTTATTGATTGGCTTATTTCACTCAGCATGATGTTCTCCAATTCCATCCAGGTTGCTGCAAATGGTGAGAATTCCTTCTTTTTTTATGGCAGCATAGTATTCCATTGTGTAAATGTACAATACTTTTTGGATCCAATCATCTGCTGACGGGCACCTAGGCTGTTTCCAAATTCTGGCTATTGTAGATTGTGCTGCTATGAACATAGGGGTGCATATATCCTTTCTGATTGGTGTTTCTAGTTTCTTGGGATATATTCCTAGGAGTGGGATTACTGGGTCAAATGGGAGTTTCATTTTAAGTTTTTTGAGGAAACTCCACACTATTCTCCACAGTGGTTGCACCAGTCTGCATTCCCACCAGCAGTGCACGAGGGTTCCTTTTTCTCCACAACCTCGCCAACACTTGTCGTTTGTTGATTTGTTGATGTTGGCCATTCTGACAGGAGTGAGATGGAACCGCATTGTTGTTTTGATTTGCACCTCTTGGACAATTAGTGGCTTTGAGCATGTTTTCATGTGCCTTTTGGCCTTTCTTATGTCTTCTTTTGAAAATATTCTATTTAGGTCCATTGCCCATTTCTTAATTGGATCATTCATCTTCCTTTTGTTTAGTTGTATAAGCTGTCTGTAAATGTTGGAGATTAAACCTTTATCAGTGGTATTATTTGCAAATATGTTCTCCCACACAGTGGGCTTTCTTGTTGTTTTGTTGATGGTTTCTTTTGCTGTAAAAAAGCTTTTTATTTTGATGTAGTCCCATTTGTTTATTTTTTCTTTAGCTTCCATTGCTCTAGGGGCAGAATCAGTGAAGAAGTTCTTTTGGCATAGATCTGAGATTTTGCTGCCTGTGGATGCTTCTAGTATTTTTATGGTTTCCCATCTGATGTTTAAGTCCTGTATCCATTTTGAGTTTATTTTTGTGAATGGTGTAAGTTGGTGATCTAGTTTCATTCTTTTGCATGTGTCTGTCCAATTTTCCCAACACCATTTATTGAAGAAACTGTCTTGACTCCATTTTATATTCGTGCCTCCTTTGTCAAATATTAATTGAGCATAGTGATTTGGGTTGATATCTGGGTTCTCGATTCTATTCCATTGATCTATATGTCTGTTCTTGTGCCAGTACCAGGCTGTTTTGAGAACAGTGGCTTTGTAATATAGTTTGAAGTCTGGTATTGAGATCCCTCCTACTTTACTCTTCTTTCTCAGGATTGCTGTGGAATTTTATATTTCTTAACTTCTTAATATTCCTTACTATAAATAATAGCCTTAAGATTTTTTTCTCATAACAGATTAATAAAAGGCAAATATTGGCCATATATTTATCTGTATCTGGCATTTAGGGATGGTATTTGTGAAGGCATGAAATGAGACATGCTTTGAAATAGGCATGGTTAAGAAGTGAAAAGATAAAATAAGAAAAACACTGTGCAACTTCATTTACTTGTGGTAATGGTTTTAACATTGATGATGTTAAAATTTATTTGTAGTGAGACTTAAAAAGAAATGATGATAGTAATCTATACTTTGCAGATCACTTTATGGTTATCAAAGCATATTTAGGTATATTATACTTTATATGTACATACTAATTTTCCTGGCAGCACCCATAAGGCAATCGGTATGGCTATAATCTAAAGACATATAAATTAAGTTGTAGATAAATTTATTGCTATGAAAGAATAATTAAAAGGACTACAACTGCAGCAGTAATCTGAGTTGTTTAATTGGTATTTTATACAAGAAGTTTATACTCAGTGGTAAAAAAGAAAAAAAATTGCTTTGGACTATCTGGTTGTTTTCGAATTTGGGTCACCAGTAGTAAAATGAGAAGGCTTCCAGAATCAACTGCAAAATTTCATTTCCCCAAACCCATGTGACTGTAAATTCTATAAGGCCAGAAGTATGTCTTGCCCATCACTATATCCAAGAGTTTTACCCAATTTACCCTAGTGGGGTTACTTACTGCTCTAGGATATTTCATTGCATATACTTATTATAGTAGGAATCATTTGCATCTCTTTGGAGACCACTGAATTGTGACCTTCCATAAGACAGGTTGTCTGAGTCCTCAAGAGTGGTACAGAGGACAGAAATTCAGTCTATATCCAATGAAATAAAGCAGCTGCATTATTTCTCCATAAAAAATATGTTATATGGGCCTTTATGTTCAATCTCAAGGTCCTTCCTTTTTGGAAAAGCATAAACTATATTCTTGCTGAGTAATGATTCCTTCCTTCCAATTGGCCGCATTTCCATGAAGAGAAGTAAAGTCAAGAGGCAGGAAGTGGTTTCTGTAGGCCCCACAATGTTCATTGGCCAGCGTTTCAAGGACTGTCCTAAATCCCAGGTGGTCTATTTCAAGGTTCAGCTCACCAAGCAGACAATAATAAAAAATATAAATTTGTTAGCACTTTTGATGGTTAAAATAGCTACCATTTATTGAGTGCTTATTATGTGACAAGCCCTGTTAAGCACTTGACCTTGTTTTATACTGACAGCAATGTTATGAGGAGCTACTTTTATCATTTTGACGTTACAGCCTCGGGAGCCAAGGACCAGGGAGGGATGGTCTTAATTGTCTTGTGTCCTGGTACATTTCTGGCAATCCACAAACAGGTGCTGACGAAACAAACAAATGGGCTAAGTGTAATATGCACGATAAGAAAGCACAGATTGTGGAATAAAGGCTCAATATAATGTAGGGGTCAGTTAAAGAAGCCTACTTTTCTGGGCTCACTGTGCTGGCATTGAAAATGCAGGAATAAACTAGGACTGAAGAAAACAGATTGTGAGGGAGCCCTATCTATTTCTGTACTTGTTCTATTAATTTATATATGCATATCCTATAATAGTGAAACAATCATTTACGGTGGGTACTGTAAAAGTTTATGGATGTATATGTGCACGCCTGTCTATTTTATTTTTTTCATCACTAATCAGACTATGTTGAGTGTTATCTATAGCTAGAAAAGGATGCAAAGTGAAACATGGAGATGGGGAGGGATTGAGATCAGAGAAAGCTTATTAGGAAAATGGCAATTAAGTTGTGCCATGAAAGATGGCCATTTAGGTGAAATGGGAAAGTTGTGTGAGTGTGTGTGTGTGTGTGTGTGTGTGTGTGTGTGTGTGTGTGTTAGGGGTGAAGTCTCCCTGGAATTGCATTTGAGCAGTTCTCTAAAATGACATATGGGAAAGAGTTTCTACCTAATAAGCTGGAGGACTTGAGCCAAACCTGACTGCAGGTGGTTATGTAGGGGATGTCCCCATTAACAAGGCCTAGAAAATAGTATTTCACAAGCTTGATACTCAAAGTGCAATCCAAGACCACCTGGATGCTTGTCAGAAATGCAGACTCTTAGGGCCCACCCCCAACCTACTCAATTAGAGCCTGCAGCTAATAAGGTCCCCAAATACCTGGATGTTTGGAAGCACTGGTTTATAAGATAAATCCTTTCTCATGGGCTTCCTCTATCTCAAGGTAACCCCCTCTCCACTCCGCTTTAGTTACAGCCACACAAGTATTCTTTGAATGTAGAGAAGCCTTTCCTAACTCCATACCCTCATTTATTGCCTGGGTTGACCAAGAACAAGACCCACAAAATTATTTGCAGAAGTCTACACTCCCCTAAAACTACCTTCTACTTAACCTTGTCACCTTCCCCTCTCCCTGCCCCTCCGGGTTTGATTTTTTTTTTTTGTATGATTTTATTGATTTTAAACAGAGAGGAAGGTAGGATATATATATATATATATATATATATATATATATATATATATATATATATATATGAGAGAGAGAGAAACATGGATCATCTTCCTCCTGCATGCCCCTACTGGAGGTTGAGCCCACAACCCAGATATGTGTGTTCCCTTTAGGAATGGAACCAGTGACCTCTTGGTGCCTAAGTCAACACTCAGATACTGAGCCACACAGGCTGGATGGGGTTGGACTTGTTAGCTGTCTTTTGTTCTAGTATTTTCAAGGCTCTGAAACAGAGTTCTGTAAAATGTTCTCATATTTTTCTTTGAGAAATAGGGAAAAGATAAAAAAAAAAAAGAAAAAGAGCCCCCTCCCCACCAATCCTTGCTAATCATACAGACAACAGATTTTTTTTTTAAATGTATTTTAACATACCACTGAATTAGTGGTGGTGGTGAGGAGACAGTTGGGGGTTTGAGATTTTTTTTTCACTTTAGTTGCTCAAGTCTGCTTTTCTGGGGCATGCAGACTCACACACTTATGTCACCAGTTGCAAGTCTCTAATTATGCTCCCCACTTCCCGAAATGAACGATAAATGCATAGATACAGACTTCCATTTGTCAGAATTGATTTCCTGTTTTAATCAAGGGTGTAATATATCATTCTTTTTTGAAACATGTGTGCTCTGACTATATCTAACACTCTTTCTTGGATTAGGGTAAGTCTAAGAAGGGAGAGAAGTAGTGACAGAAACATACTCCCCATTGGTATATTTTCAGTTCCTTTAAATAGATGCAGGTGTCTTTTTTTTTATGTGTAATTACAAGCTAAAAATATCAATAATGTGAAGTACAATTTATGCTGTAACTGCCCTTTCAAAGTGAGGCTTTCCTTGTCTAATTCAGGTGGAGAATCTCTGCTTCTGTTTTTTTTTTTTTTTTCTTTAAATTTATTCAGCCTCATGTCTTTTGGTGAGGTTTTCACTTTCTTTGCTACTTGAAAAGTGGTCAGGAAATTCATTTTTTAAACTATGAGTCTCAGTCTCCCCACTACTTGTGGCAAGTACCTCCTGGTTGTTGACGATAAACAGAGCGGTGAAAATGAACCCATAAGACTGCACCCATCTAGAGGCCCTAGAATGGATACCCATAGTGTTGAGCCATACATGTCTCATCTCTTTCAGAGCCTCAGACTGTCTGGAAAGCCACGGCCTCACAAACACAGTCCAGAAGGCCTCTGTGTCTACTGTTTGCAAATTACATCTAAGCTTTCCTATGGTTCCTAAAAAGATGTTAACAAATGTGACCAGCCAATGATCCAACTAACAAAGTGGTGAACTAAAAATAAGCAAAACACAAAACCATAGAACTTTCATGAAAATCCAAACTATCAAACTTTCCAGAGGGACCTGCAATGAAAGAATTGCAGAAGCAGGGATGTATTTTTCCAGCCTGTGATTTTGAGGCTCTACTTTCTAATCCTCCTCAAAAGACTACACAATACTGCATTCATTAGAAAATATCCTGGGAAAAGAAGGCCTGGGTAGGAGAAGAGGGGAGGGTATGGATGTGTTGACAGTAGCATTGAGCTGCCTCTGTGTATGTGAGAGGCTTTCATTAGTAAGGACTGAACTATTCTCAGTGTCTTTGCCCCATAACTTCCTATCTGTTGAGTGGCAGGATGGAGAGAGAATCCCTGGCTCAGAGAGAATCCTGGGCTATTACAGCTGGAGATCTTTAAAATAGGGTCTGGTCTAATGAGTAAACTGAAGAGCTCAGAGAAATTGAGCAATTTGTTCAAAGTCACACATATTTGTCACACATATTGTTCAGGTTTAGGCCGGGAGGGCTAGTCCAGGATCCTGCCCCTCTCCAATACAAATCCTCTGTAGCTGAGTGACTTTCTCACAATTACAGCCACACAAAGCACCAGGAAGCTATGAAGCAATGAACAGGCTACCAAGACCACATGGGTCACCTGATACAAATCTCTGCGTTGCATGAGGAGGATCAGTAAATTCTTTTGAAGGCCCCATCAAATCCTGAGATCCTATATCTCCAAGAGAACATTGTGTGGCCTACGTGTCAGGCAGTGAAAACAGATCCTGAGATGGGCAGGCTGGAGGCAGGAGGGGAGATTGCCTACTTGTGGAAGTCCTCAATGCAGTGGATGAGGCCGCCAGCATCCACAGTGAACGGGATCCCATCCAGGCTACGGTGGCACATCACACAGGTGAAGCAGTGAGGATGGTAGGCCTTCCCGGTAGCTCGGAGAATCCGCTCCATGATGGGCTTGGAGCATACACTGCACTGCTCCAGGGTATTCTGGAGAGAGAAAGAACAATGCTGATGATGAGGTGGCCCTTCAACAGTGACTTACCGTACAATGGGCACTGTCATAGGACACACTGGCATGGGTGCTCACCACAGTCAGTATTTTATAATCTTTATTCTAGAGAAAAGGAAACACAGTCAGATAGATCACATGGTTTGTTTCAGGTCACCCAGGTAAGAGTTGGCAAATGTCAAATTTAAAACACATTTTCTGACTCCTCCCCTTGTTCCTTCCCACTATGGCAAGGTTGATGGCAGACTTTTAGGTAAAGACCCATAGAGGAAATATTTCTGGCTTTCTTTCAACAGTGCAATTTTTCCATTACAGTGCAAAGGCAGCCACAGACATACATAAACAAATGGGCATCATTGTGTTTTAATAAAACTTTATATACAAAAGCAGGTGGTGCTCTGGATTTGGCCTGTGCTATAATTTGTTTATCCCTGAACTATGAAACTCAGGTTCTCCACTGGAAGAGTGCTTCATTATTACTTCCAACACTTGCTTCATCATCAGAGACTAGTGGAGTCATCAAGGACCCTAACATTTTCCAGTGTGGTCTGTCTGGTAACAGACACACAGAGCATGCAGGCTGCTGACCTCAGGCATAGCTCATGACAACCAACAAGGCCAGTGATCATGAGTACTTGACTCAAACATCAACTCCAATGTAGTGTTATAAGCTCTCAATGGAAATGTTGAACCTAGAGGGGTTCCAGTTTTGAGAGATCAATTAAGAAAGTCAATTTATCTAGCTGCAGAGATATACTGTGTTTTAAAAATAAATATCCCCGCCTAAAGAGGACACCGTTTATAGAGTCAGGACTATGAAAGACTGATAAAATTACCTGTTAACTTTTCATTTTTCCTTGGAAATTCATGTACTCTTTCCTAACAACCATGCTTCACATGTAATATGCTATAATATATTCCAATTGAGATGTCTAGACTGAGTCACTGAATTTACAACCTAGAATAAACCAGGGATGGGTATCTGATGAGAGATATGCAGAAATGGAAGAGGTATGGAAATTAAGGAGTAACTACCCTCATACCAGGAGAACCTTTCAATGGCCATTAGGCAAGAAGTATCTGTGGGTAGATAACAAATATATTAACATCTCAACTCAGCAATGGTCTCCAATGGGCTTCCTTGTTTGCATGCTGCTTCTTTTGTAATACTTCCCTGTCCCCAAAGTGACTGCCAGTTTCCTTTCCAAACCACAGATGTGAACAACTAATTTTCCTGTTAGCAAAAACTTATATGGTCTAGCAATGTAAATAGAGCTAGTTCCATATCTGACATTCAACATTCCTTTCTAGACTGACTTCCTTAATGTCTGGGACTGCTCACACACACACACTCACACCTATGAGAAACTTCCATACTCCTATAAATTGGCTAATTAATTGCAACTTGCCATATTGACCTTTCTAAGTATGGGTCAGAAAGCAACTTCACAGCGAAGCTTTCCTTGATATCTTTATTTGGAATAAACTGATTCCTTCTATCCGCTTCCTGAGACTGTAGTGCTCACAAGGTTCACTTGTGTTAAAATTATTTGTGCATCTGTCTATTTCCTCAAGGGCTGGGACTATGTCTGAGGAATGTATTTCTCTGTCCCATATTACACCTAGTATACTACCTGAAACAAAATAAGCCCAGGGTGAATGTGTGCTAAAAGAATGAAGGAAGGCATATTGTTTACCTCCCACTTACAGCACACTACTGGCCTGACTCCCCTGACTCAGGAATCTCTCCTAAGATGAATTAGTAAATCTATCGCTGTCCTCTCTTCAAAGGTTGGTTGCTGTGGGTACTGAAATTGCTCAGTGTACCTCTGGTCACATTCTAAACTCATGGAAACTATTAACCTACTCCCTCACCCCTCAGATTTTAAAGTGGTAAAATTAAAATATCAGAGAAACATTAAGAGGAAAGTCTGGAGACAATGATGGTCTGGACAATGAAGGCCTTGCTACTCTTCTATCCTGGTGATCTGAGCTAATGTGGCTAGAAATCGTCTTCCTGAGACTTGTGTTTTGTTCCTCTTGTGGGTTTTAAATTTTAACATTTTTTTAAGGGCAGCCTCTAATGGAGTTGAACAAACCAGAAAATGCTTGGCCAGAAAATGTTATCGTTTGCTTTGAGGCTTGGCTGCAAGTTTCAGTCAATTTACTTAAAGCCATCATGACCTATAGAAGCACTATTTAAAAGACAGGTAATCTGGACATTTCTTTTACAAAGGCAAAACTGTGTAAAATATGCCTAAAGTGAGATTATTATGAAATGTTCACATATGAGAAATTAAAGGTTCTAAGAATGCAGCTGTTAGCCTGGACTAGCAAATGGTATCGGAGGACAAATTAACCTTGTCTAGGCAGTTCCCTTTATTGTACTCATCTCCTTTCAGTCTTCAATTGGTCCACTAGGACCCTTAGACATATATTTTACTAGAGCAGTGTTTTCCAAAGTGTGGTACGCGTACCCCCAGGGGTCCAGGAAGAGTTTGGTGGGGGTATGCACTGCACTGTGCTTAGCTGCGCCTAATTCTACATTCTCATGAGTATGAAGGGTACTCAGAGTTACAAAAATTATAGAAGGGGTACACATATGTCAAAAGTTTGGGAAACACTGTCCTAGAGAAAGGACAAAGACTCTTGCAATGTCAGAGAGGAAGGCACTGAACATTCCTGTAGTCCAGGCCTCTGATTTCAGAGGTGAGAAAACAGACCTGGAACCCTGATGTAATTGGACCTGGGCAATGGAGTTCAATAGGGGCAGACATCAGACTGGCATTGTTCAGAGGGGGTATGATGAATTCATTATGTAGTCCTAGAGAGGGAAAATTACCAGATAAAAACTATTAGTTATCCTTCTGGTTTTGTCAACACGCAGCATACAACTTTGGATAAATAATTTCTTCTCTCTAGACCTCAGTTTTCTTGTCTGTAAAACAATGATTAATTTTAACTCTGCAATTTTATTACTCTGTGATACATCAGTGTTAACAACAATAGGAAAAGGCCAATGTTTCCAATATAAGCTATATACTAGAAACACCAGGATAACCCCTTGTTTGATATATAAACAGAGGGTTCGTATATTAGAATTCTACACTATGTAACATCTACTATGCCTGGAATTTTACTTGGAATTCCAGAAATTGTTGTTGGTTGAATTTCAAGGTCTTCACAAAGTAGGTTAAAATGAAAAAGTTAATAAATGATTTTTAAGAAAGTAAAACAAAAGAAGGTTTTTAAGCAAAAGAGTGGAAGAATATGTAGGAGAGGGGTGTGGTGATTGATCAGTGGGTAGGTGTCATGATTGATCAGTGAGAAGAGCCTACACCGGCATAAGAATCTTCAAATGCAGAAATGTGTTTTATGAGCTGGCTCTTGATCAGCCTCTGCTGCTCTCCCCACAGCCTCCACCTTCCTGCAGTCATGAGCTTTCTGAGACAACTTTCATAAGCTATGTTCTACAAGTTCAGACTGATTCATATTCTTTCTTTTTTGCCTAGGGAATACCTAGTCATTCTTCAAAGTGAAACTCAAGTGTTACCTCTTCTGCACAACCTTTTCTAATCTTCCCTCTGCTATACTCCAAGAAAATGAGTCACTTCCTCCAGTCCCATAAGATTGCATAATGTTTTTCTTATGCAGCTGAATATAATGTACTTGATTTAATAGTATGACCAAACTGAGCCCACACCTCTCCCCTGTCCCTGCAATGGAGCCATATGCATAGGTTGCGTTTCCTAGGAAACATTCTGAAAAAGAGATTTGCACATGGGAAGTTACTTAAGAGTGTCTTTGAGATAGTCTTTGAGATCAACACCTGTGAAGGAGTGCAGGAAGTTCCTGAGTAGAGGAGCTGAACTAAGATGCAGTTACAACAAAGGATTCTGATGGTTCCATAGGATAGTCTGGAGCTGGAATGGCCCTGCAGAATTGTTCTTTCTTGAAACTAGGGAATAGAGAACTTGCATCACTGCATCTTGAGTGAAGATGAAGTTCCATTGAGGGTAATTACCAGAGAAGGACTCAGGTATGAAACATCAACTGCCAATAATCCCAGCATCTGGAGGAATGAGAGCCTCAGCCCTGAGAGGGATCTGGGCAGTGTATTACAGCATCCCCAGCAGCAACAACCTCACCCACACCTGCATAGTCCATAGCATACAGTAGACAACTGGTAACCAGCTATGACATAAATACCTTATAGTTTACTCTGAAGGAAGAGTCTAAAGTTTATTCTTTTAAAAATAAAACCTTGGCATTATTTGAAGATTTTTAAGGATTTTTATTAATTGTTTTGGACAGCTACTCCAATGAAAATATAATTAAAAAGGAAAAGATGTTATAGAGTAGCAGAAAAAAGCCAAACGAGAAATTAGCTGTTAAAATGCACGGCTTTAAACTCTTCTGAGATGATGGCAATACGACTGTGATTAAAAACAAAAAAAAAGTTAAGTAAAAATAAAATCACACAAAAAATCTTATACACATAATTTCCCAAAGCAACTGTTTTTAGAGATACAATCTGGTTGTATCTTTTCTATCCTTGGATATTGTATAAATAACTTTTCCAATTCACAGTCAGAAGCTGGAAGAATCATCTGAATATAAATGAAGCATATAGGTAGCATAAGCATTAGCTTCTAGTAGATTATAAAGAAAATAACATTTTTATAATTTATATATTGCATAGGTATACATGTGTTCAATGTTAAGTATTTTATTTAAAGAGACATAAGTATTTGAAGATTCAGCAAACTTTAAAGTGTTGCCATTTAGAAATGTTAATTTTTTCATTTCATAAAATTAAAATGTAACCTTATATTCAATCTTTATTTTATTTTTTTAAGACAAGAAAGCAATTTTGAAACAGGAAAGACTCTTGGAAAGGTAAGGGTGACATCTCACATTCTAGATACAGTTTTGGTTTTATTGGGATAAGAATAAGAATAAGAATAAAAAATGCAGA